CAGAGTGTGGCGATGGAGACAGCAGCAATGGGAGGCCGTACAGGGACCCATGAGAGACTCTGGACTTGGCAGCAGCATGAGGAGGCGGTATATAGGGGCCCATGGCAGATTAGGGGCCTGGCAGCAGCTATGTGAGGCCCGTAATCTGCCTGCACCCTATGTCAAAAAATTTAACACACCAGCAGTGTGAAGAGACCTGAAAGTGGCACATGGCAGCAGAGTGTGTGGCGATGGAGACAGCAGCAATGGGAGGCCGTACAGGGACCCATGACAGACTCTGGGACTTGGCAGCAGCATGAGGAGGCGGTATATAGGGGCCCATGGCAGATTAGGGGCCCTGGCAGCAGCTATGTGAGGCCCGTAATCTGCCTGCACCCTATGTCAAAAAATTTAAACACACCAGCAGTGTGAAGAGACCTGAAAGTGGCACATGGCAGCAGAGTGTGGCGATGGAGAGACAGCAGCAATGGGAGGCCGTACAGGGACCCATGAGAGACTCTGGACTTGGCAGCAGCATGAGGAGGCGGTATATAGGGGCCCATGGCAGATTAGGGGCCTGGCAGCAGCTATGTGAGGCCCGTAATCTGCCTGCACCCTATGTCAAAAAATTTAACACACCAGCAGTGTGAAGAGACCTGAAAGTGGCACATGGCAGCAGAGTGTGGCGATGGAGACAGCAGCAATGGGAGGCCGTACAGGGACCCATGAGAGACTCTGGACTTGGCAGCAGCAGCATGAGGAGGCGGTATATAGGGGCCCATGGCAGATTAGGGGCCTGGCAGCAGCTATGTGAGGCCCGTAATCTGCCTGCACCCTATGTCAAAAAATTTAAAACACACCAGCAGTGTGAAGAGACCTGAAAGTGGCACATGGCAGCAGAGTGTGGCGATGGAGACAGCAGCAATGGGAGGCCGTACAGGGACCATGACAGACTCTGGACTTGGCAGCAGCATGAGGAGGCGGTATATAGGGGGCCCATGGCAGATTAGGGGCCTGGCAGCAGCTATGTGAGGCCCGTAATCTGCCTGCACCCTATGTCAAAAAATTTAACACACCAGCAGTGTGAAGAGACCTGAAAGTGGCACATGGCAGCAGAGTGTGGCGATGGAGACAGCAGCAATGGGAGGCCGTACAGGGACCATGACAGACTCTGGACTTGGCAGCAGCATGAGGAGGCGGTATATAGGGGCCCATGGCAGATTAGGGGCCTGGCAGCAGCAGCTATGTGAGGCCCGTAATCTGCCTGCACCCTATGTCAAAAAATTTAAACACACCAGCAGTGTGAAGAGACCTGAAAGTGGCACATGGCAGCAGAGTGTGGCGATGGAGACAGCAGCAATGGGAGGCCGTACAGGGACCATGACAGACTCTGGACTTGGCAGCAGCATGAGGAGGCGGTATATATAGGGGCCCATGGCAGATTAGGGGCCTGGCAGCAGCTATGTGAGGCCCGTAATCTGCCTGCACCCTATGTCAAAAAATTTAAACACACCAGCAGTGTGAAGAGACCTGAAAGTGGCACATGGCAGCAGAGTGTGGCGATGGAGACAGCAGCAATGGGAGGCCGTACAGGGACCCATGACAGACTCTGGACTTGGGCAGCAGCATGAGGAGGCGGTATATAGGGGCCCATGGCAGATTTAGGGGGCCTGGCAGCAGCTATGTGAGGCCCGTAATCTGCCTGCACCCTATGTCAAAAAATTTAACACACCAGCAGTGTGAAGAGACCTGAAAGTGGCACATGGCAGCAGAGTGTGGCGATGGAGACAGCAGCAATGGGAGGCCGTACAGGGACCCATGACAGACTCTGGACTTGGCAGCAGCATGAGGAGGCGGTATATAGGGGCCCATGGCAGATTAGGGGCCTGGCAGCAGCTATGTGAGGCCCGTAATCTGCCTGCACCCTATGTCAAAAAATTTAACACACCAGCAGTGTGAAGAGACCTGAAAGTGGCACATGGCAGCAGAGTGTGGCGATGGAGACAGCAGCAATGGGAGGCCGTACAGGGACCATGACCATGACAGACTGGACTTGGCAGCAGCATGAGGAGGCGGTATATAGGGGCCCATGGCAGATTAGGGGCCTGGCAGCAGCAGCTATGTGAGGCCCGTAATCTGCCTGCACCCTATGTCAAAAAAAATTAAAACACACCAGCAGTGTGAAGAGACCTGAAAGTGGCACATGGCAGCAGAGTGTGGCGATGGAGACAGCAGCAATGGGAGGCCGTACAGGGACCCATGAGAGACTCTGGACTGGCAGCAGCAGCATGAGGAGGCGGTATATAGGGGCCCATGGCAGATTAGGGGCCTGGCAGCAGCTATGTGAGGCCCGTATCTTGCAGCACCCTATGTCAAAAAAAAATTTAACACACCAGCAGTGTGAAGAGACCTGAAAGTGGCACATGGCAGCAGAGTGTGGCGATGGAGACAGCAGCAATGGGAGGCCGTACAGGGACCCATGAGAGACTCTGGACTTGGCAGCAGCATGAGGAGGAGGCGGTATATATAGGGGCCCATGGCAGATTAGGGGCCTGGCAGCAGCTATGTGAGGCCCGTAATCTGCCTGCACCCTATGTCAAAAAATTTAAACACACCAGCAGTGTGAAGAGACCTGAAGTGGCACATGGCAGCAGAGTGTGGCGATGGAGACAGCAGCAATGGGAGGCCGTACAGGGACCATGACAGACTCTGGACTTGGCAGCAGCATGAGGAGGCGGTATATAGGGGCCCATGGCAGATTAGGGGCCTGGCAGCAGCTATGTGAGGCCCGTAATCTGCCTGCACCCTATGTCAAAAAATTTAACACACCAGCAGTGTGAAAGAGACCTGAAAGTGGCACATGGCAGCAGTGTGGCGATGGAGACAGCAGCAATGGGAGGCCGTACAGGGACCATGACAGACTCTGGACTTGGCAGCAGCATGAGGAGGCGGTATATAGGGGCCCATGGCAGATTAGGGGCCTGGCAGCAGCTATGTGAGGCCCGTAATCTGCCTGCACCCTATGTCAAAAAAAAAATTTAACACACACACCAGCAGTGTGAAGAGACCTGAAAGTGGCACATGGCAGCAGCAGAGAGTGTGGCGATGGAGACAGCAGCAATGGGAGGCTACAGGGACCCATGAGAGACTCTGGACTTGGCAGCAGCATGAGGAGGCGGGTATATAGGGGCCCATGGCAGATTAGGGGCCTGGCAGCAGCTATGTGAGGCCCGTAATCTGCCTGCACCCTATGTCAAAAAAATTTAAACACACCAGCAGTGTGAAGAGACCTGAAAGTGGCACATGGCAGCAGAGTGTGGCGATGGAGACAGCAGCAATGGGAGGCCGTACAGGGACCCATGACAGACTCTGGACTTGGCAGCAGCATGAGGAGGCGGTATATAGGGGCCCATGGCAGATTAGGGGCCTGGCAGCAGCTATGTGAGGCCCGTAATCTGCCTGCACCCTATGTCAAAAAATTTAACACACCAGCAGTGTGAAGAGACCTGAAAGTGGCACATGGCAGCAGAGTGTGGCGATGGAGACAGCAGCAATGGGAGGCCGTACAGGGACCCATGAGAGACTCTGGACTTGGCAGCAGCATGAGGAGGAGGCGGTATATAGGGGCCCATGGCAGATTAGGGGCCTGGCAGCAGCTATGTGAGGCCCGTAATCTGCCTGCACCCTATGTCAAAAAATTTAACACACCAGCAGTGTGAAGAGACCTGAAAGTGGCACATGGCAGCAGAGTGTGGCGATGGAGACAGCAGCAATGGGAGGCCGTACAGGGACCCATGACAGACTCTGGACTTGGCAGCAGCATGAGGAGGCGGTATATAGGGGCCCATGGCAGATTAGGGGCCTGGCAGCAGCTATGTGAGGCCCGTAATCTGCCTGCACCCTATGTCAAAAAATTTAACACACCAGCAGTGTGAAGAGACCTGAAAGTGGCACATGGCAGCAGAGTGTGGCGATGGAGACAGCAGCAATGGGGGCCGTACAGGGACCCATGACAGACTCTGGACTTGGCAGCAGCATGAGGAGGGCGGTATATAGGGGCCCATGGCAGATTAGGGGCCTGGCAGCAGCTATGTGAGGCCCGTAATCTGCCTGCACCCTATGTCAAAAAATTTAACACACCAGCAGTGTGAAGAGACCTGAAAGTGGCACATGGCAGCAGAGTGTGGCGATGGAGACAGCAGCAATGGGAGGCCGTACAGGGACCCATGAGAGACTCTGGACTTGGCAGCAGCATGAGGAGGCGGTATATAGGGGCCCATGGCAGATTAGGGGCCTGGCAGCAGCTATGTGAGGCCCGTAATCTGCCTGCACCCCCTATGTCAAAAAATTTTAACACACCAGCAGTGTGAAGAGACCTGAAAGTGGCACATGGGCAGCAGAGTGTGGCGATGGAGACAGCAGCAATGGGAGGGCCGTACAGGGACCCATGAGAGACTCTGGACTTGGCAGCAGCATGAGGAGGAGGGGCGGTATATAGGGGCCCATGGCAGATTAGGGGCCTGGCAGCAGCTATGTGAGGCCCGTAATCTGCCTGCACCCTATGTCAAAAAATTTAACACACCAGCAGTGTGAAGAGACCTGAAAGTGGCACATGGCAGCAGAGTGTGGCGATGGATGGAGACAGCAGCAATGGGAGGCCGTACAGGGACCCATGAGAGACTCTGGACTTGGCAGCAGCAGCATGAGGAGGCGGTATATAGGGGCCCATGGCAGATTAGGGGCCTGGCAGCAGCTATGTGAGGCCCGTAATCTGCCTGCACCCTATGTCAAAAAATTTAACACACAGCAGTGTGTGAAGAGACCTGAGTGGCACATGGCAGCAGCAGAGTGTGGCGATGGCGATGGAGACAGCAGCAATGGGAGGCCGTACAGGGACCCATGAGAGACTCTGGACTTGGCAGCAGCAGGAGGAGGCGGTATATAGGGGCCCATGGCAGATTAGGGGCCTGGCAGCAGCTATGTGAGGCCCGTAATCTGCCTGCACCCTATGTCAAAAAATTGTCAAAAAAGTTAACACACCAGCAGTGTGAAGAGACCTGAAAGTGGCACATAGGGGGCAGAGTGTGGCGATGGAGACAGCAGCAATGGGAGGCCGTACAGGGACCCATGACAGACTCTGGACTTGGCAGCAGCATGAGGAGGAGGGGTATATAGGGGGCCCATGGCAGATTAGGGGCCTGGCAGCAGCTATGTGAGGCCCGTTATCTCTGCCTGCACCCTATGTCAAAAAAAATTTAAAACACACCAGCAGTGTGAAGAGACCTGAAAGTGGCACATGGCAGCAGAGTGTGGCGATGGAGACAGCAGCAATGGGAGGCCGTACAGGGACCCATGAGAGACTCTGGACCTGGCAGCAGCAGGAGGAGGTGGTATATAGGGGCCCATGGCAGATTAGGGGCCTGGCAGCAGCTATGTGAGGCCCGTAATCTGCCTGCACCCTATGTGTCAAAAAATTTAACACACCAGCAGTGTGAAGAGAGACCTGAAAGTGGCACATGGCAGCAGAGTGTGGCGATGGAGACAGCAGCAATGGGAGGCCGTACAGGGACCCATGAGAGACTCTGGACCTGGCAGCAGCAGGAGGAGGAGGTGGTATATAGGGGCCTATGGCAGATTAGGGGCCTGGCAGCAGCTATAGGAGGCCCGTAATCTGCCTGCCAGCACCCTATGTCAAAAAAAAATTCAAACACACCAGCAGTGTGAGGAGACCTGAAAGTGGCACATGTTTGAGGCATGATTCATGGCGGATTTAGTTAGTCAGTTGTGTCAGGAACTGGTGGTTTGAAATCCAGACTAATCCACGCCTGATTCATTTTTTCACAAACGTGAGTCTCTCCACACTTTGGGTGGACAGTCGTGTCCTCCGCGGAGTTACAATACCTCCTGCCGCACTAAACACGCGCTCCGATGCCACGCTACTGGCCGGGCATGACAGCCTTTCAAGGGCATATTCAGCTAGTTGGGGCCAAAGGTCAAGTTTCGTTGCCCAGTAGTCAAGGGGATTGTCTACCTCGGTTGGCAGGGTGCTGTCCAAGTAGGCCCAAGCCTGTTGTTTGAGCTCCTGCTCCAGGTCCACCTGATGCTGCTGCTGCTGCTGCGGCTGGTTAGTAGTTTCCTCACTGCGCTGGTGAAGAAAGCTACTCATCATCGACTGCAGACTGAGGCAGCCGCTGCTGGTGGAGCTGCCACTGCTCCTACCACCCCACCCCTCCCCTGCTGCCATGCCAGCGGAACGCGAGCGCACAGGGCCCACAGTGTCTGAGGATGGACGTTGGCGCACAAAGGCAGAGACCAACTGACTACATAGGTGGTTTTTATAGTACGTAATTTTGGCCTCCCTCTCAGCAGGTGTGAAAAAGGCCACCATTTTGGACCGGTAGGTAGCGAGGGTCCAACAAGGTGGACAGCCAAAAGTCATCCCTCTGTCTGATGGTTATTATTCGGCTGTCGCTACGCAAGCAACCGAGCATGCTATGGGCCATTTGTGCCAAGGAATGCGAGGGACTCCCTGCCTCCATCTCCACAGCATACTGCCACGGTGCGTCTGGGTCCTCTGTCTCCTCCTCCTCCTCCTCTACCAGATGCTCCTGCTCCTCCACTCCTGTCCGCTGAGTGAAAAAAACCACCCATTTCACTCAATAATTCCTGAGCACAAATGTCCTCCTCTACCTCCTCCTCTTCTTCCTGTCCTGCCCCCACAGGGGTCATGTGGCGTTGAGATCTGTGCGCCACGTCTACCGCACCCTGACCAGCCATTGTTAACAGCATTTGTTCCAGGACGTGCAACAGAGGAATGACGTCGTTCATCCCATAGTCCTGCCGACTCACGAATAGCGTGGCCTCCTCAAAGGGCCTGAGCAAGCGGCAGGTGTCACGCATGAGCTGCCAATGGCTGACATCTAAGTTACACAGGGGAGTACCTTTTATCCGCTTGTAACATCAGGAAATCGGTGATGGCCTTTCGCTGCTCGTAAAGGCGGTCTAACATGTGTAGGGTTGAATTCCACCTTGTTGCAACGTCGCAGATCAGGCGATGCTGTGGAATTCCGTTCTGCCGCTGCAGCTCAATGAGGGTGTTCTTTGCGGTGTAGGAATGGCTGAAATGCATGCACAGTTTACGTGACATTTTAAGGATGTCTTGCAGTGGGATGGTGGATTTTAGGAACCGCTTGACAACCAGATTGAACACGTGAGCCATGCATGGCGCATGGCACAACCTTCCTTGACGCAGAGCAGACACCATGTTCTTTCCGTTGTCAGTCAACATGGTTCCGATTTTTAGTTTGCGCGGAGACAGCCATCTGTCGATTTCTCTGTTCATTACACTCAGCAGTTCCTCCCCTGTGTGACTACGTTCGCCAAGGCATACCAGGTGCAGCACAGCGTGACACCGTTGCGCCCTGCACATGTGATATGCCGGTCGGTAATGGGACTTGGCACGGGGGTGGCGGCTGAGGACACGGCGGAAAAAAAAGAGGTGGTAGAGGCGGACATGCTTGCTGGACCAAGGACGTGCAAACGTGGAGGCAAAAGCGTCGTGACCTGTCCAAGTTGCTGGTGCGGCTGTGCCGGCACCACGTTCACCCAGTGGGCCGTAAATGACATGTACTGTCCCTGACCGTAGTTACAGCTCCACACGTCGGCGCTGCCGTGCACTTTGGCAGAGACCGACATGCTCAAAGACTGGCCCACCATCTCTTCTACATGTGAATGCAGGGCTGGCACTGCCTTTTGGGCAAAGAAATGACGGCTTGGCACTCTCCACCGCGGCGCGGCACAAGCCATCATTTCTCGGAAAGGTGCTGAGTCCACCAGTTGGAAAGGGAGGGACTGCAGCACCAGCAACTTGGACAGGAGGACGTTCAGCTTTTGCACCGTCGGGTGCGTGCTCGCAAACTGTTGTCTCTTGGATACGGATTCCAAGAAAGACTGTTGACGGAATCCGAGAAGAGGAGTAGCAGGAGAA